TGAAATAGTTTAGGGATCCGCCATCTGAGGAAGGGAAAACGAGGCTGGTGGGTCCAGCAGCACTTCATAAACTCCTAATCATTATGAATGTTCAGGCAAAGCTAGTTTAAGCTGCAGGGAAAAATTCTAGACTTTACTAAACTGTTGCTAACCAATAAATTTTAGTTTCCGAACGGTACTTAATAATACTTTTTAATAGTACTACTAGCAAATATTATAGAAAATCCAAGATTAAACCTACAATATTTATCATACAATTAAGAAAAGGCACGACGCAGTAAATACCCAATAAAAATATAATGGGCTCTTCTATTTTTGTACTCAACACTTTCCCCTAATTCCCGGAAACTGGCATTCAATCATTAACTACACATCAGACTGCCCCAATCAGAAGCAAAGTTTGGCTTCTATTTATATTTATCATTTGTATTCCGCCCCTTTTCCAGCACCATCACACCATCAAGAACAACAAACCCAAACCATAGATTTCCGCCCCAAAGAAACTCATATCAATGTCGCCATCGGAACGGCAAACCAATCAAACATCAAACAGTATTCCATCATTGTCAGCAGCAGCAGTTACTACGACTATATATGGCTATATTTTGGGGACAGAGAAAATAATGACCCAGAGATGATAGAGACCAGGGGAAAATTGGGGCAACGGAGGTGAAACATTTATGAGTCCATGTGACATAATGTTAAATATTCAAAGAGCAAATGTTGATGCATCCATGGGGCCAGAGCCGTTCATTGATGGACCCATTTGCCGCAGCGGAACTACAGTTTGCGGCCCATGAATTTCGTTGTCATTGGCCACCGTTCCACTATCCATTGGAGTCTGACTCTTCAGCCACTTCAAACAATGGCACCGCAATGTATGCCGCACAATTTGTAGCCCGCTACACTGAGAAAATTTAGGAAAAGGCCACCGAAATATAGCATTCTGCTTAAAAAAGATAAATAATTTGTCATCCAACTCTGGAACACCAAGTTTATATTTTCTCCGTGTATCCCTGTCTACTCACAAGTTTTTCGATTTGCAAAACTATGCTCATGAGTTTCTGGATTGACGAATGGCTGATTGTGAAATCACTTGCACACGCTCCCTTTATTGACGCTCATCCATCAGATTCAGATTCATGGAATTTATATATATTCGCCCACTTAAGTGCATTACATATAATTCGGCGTGTGTGCAATGGGGCTGAGCAGCTGGCTCTGGAATATTGCTGGCTTATCTATGGAAAATATACATTTAAATCTGAATCGATTTCGGTTGTCTGGCTTGAAAGGGCGAGGGGCAAGTGGGGAGCTGGTCGCTTTGGTCAACCCCTATCAACAAGTCTTCGGTCCAAAGCTCTTGAGCCACGAAATCCCTTGGTTTGGGTTGGCTTGGGGTAAGGCATAATATGTGTGTGGGTAAGGGGGAATTTCGAATTGAGAAGCTGGAATCACAATCACCATTCAACTGAGACATAAGCATTGTTGCTGGTGTTATTTTTATGCAAATATTACGCATTTGCCGTTAAAATCTGGCTAAGTGGATGCAAGAATGGGCACCATGGGTGTTTTGCTTTTAAGAAAATTAACAAGGGGGTTAAAAAAGGTAATTACATTTATGAAAAAAAAGTATCAGTAAATAATGTTTAATCGACAACGATTAATTTGATAAATTTGGTGTTGTCTGAATAACAATTATTTTTATTAGCTTTATTTAATAAATATTTTTAATTAGTACACTTTCCATATTGAAACTCATTTTTCATAAAAAAAAAAATAAAGAATAAATTAATTCAGTTTTTCCAACAGTAAAATGTATTCGTCAGTTTGTTAAATGTTCCCCTTTTGAATCATTAGAAGACAGACAATTAATGCACCCCTTTATGATATCCTTGATTGTTGCTCTCAAGTGCCAGCCCACTTGTAACTCGAAGAATGTAATTGGATTTTTCTGAATAACCAGCTCGTTTTTATTTTGAAAAATCTTTTTGAAATATATGCAAAAAATCAGTACGGGAACTTAATGATGTGTAAATGTAAAGGATGGGTTCTGTGTAATTTCTTTTTCCCTACGCCAGCTAATTCATGAGAAATGCTTTTTGATTGCGTTCAAATTTGCATTTCAAGCGGCTCAATTTAATTTCGGAATCACGTGATATATGTAATGACCGCTCTATTCACATGCGATCCAGTCATAATTTAGGACACAACTTTGCCCTCTGCCCCCGTGGCCCAAACAAATAGCGAGGTCATGTCGCTGGCGTCTTAAATAAATTAGCTTTGGTTATTGGCCTGGCCAAGAGCATTCAGCGGCCTCGAGTGTCGTTTGGCATAATAATATTATGCGCCGCAGAGTGAAACAAATACAGCAAATGCCTAATTATATTTTGTTTGTCAACCATGATGAAGAAGCTTTTGCCAAAGATGGGGCTCAAACTGCTGGCCAAACAAATCGGACTCGGAATATCAATTGCGTCTCTCTTACTGGCTGGGAATATATTCGGGATAAAGCATAATAATTGCGAAATTTAATTTACCTTATTCAGTTTATTTTCCATATTTGCCATCTACTTACGTAAAGTTTGCAGAACTTTTCCCAGGCCATAAAAACGAAAGTAGTTCACTCAAAAAGCCATATTCTTCACCTAGGGACTGTCACACACTTACAAACTCCCGCATAAACAAAGGAAAAAATTGTAGATGGTCTGGAACTTTCCCACAACAATGGTCAATGTCCCAGGATTCCCTAAAGTGATATCGAGAAAAGGGAGAAAAATCAGTTTCCCTGTTTTCTTTGCCTCGACTTTCGATTTGTTTTCGCCCAAGTTTTCGGGTTTCCTGGGTCTGCTGTATTTTTTCCGAAGCTTCTCCTCTGTTTATTTTTGCTTACACTTATCAAAATATTGGCCGTACACATATTGTTTCGCCTGGCTGTCTGCATCAAGCATAAAGATATCGGAGTTGGGTCAACTGGAGAGTTCGGGCCCTGACCCTTTGGTATATCGGACCGCCTTCCCCTTACTGCTCGCCCAGATTCAACACAAAAATAGAAGGAGTTGATATATCTAACAGGGAAATCGAATTTAAGATGCCCTTGAAAAAATTGAATGATTATTAAAGCTATACAATTTAAACAAATTATAACGTAAACTATATAAAATATCAGAAAGACCAGCTTTAAATGTGTTCAAATGATTATATCTAGTAAACGAAGAATGAACCTTGCGATATAAAGTGGGTTTATGCTTCGGTTTTATAGATAAGGTTATTGAAATAAATAAAGGTATTCCCTAATGGATTACATTTTTGAAAATGAACTGACTAATATCGGTAGTTAAATTGAATTGTTTATATGGTCCACTTAAGAAATGGCAATACTCTTAAGGAAGAACACTAAGATGGTTCGGGAAGACGGGGAAACAATAGAAAAGACATTGAGATGGGGAGCGATACACGAAAAATTATCTGCCATGCCACATTCTGTTGAATTTTTCAGCATGTGCGTGTGTGTGAGCGCCGTAACTTTCACTTTGTTGTCCGGGTTCAACCACCCACTGACCTCCCTCCCACCCAACGACCTTCCCCAATACCCCCTCCCACCGTCAGCCCACTTTATTTGCCCAGTTTGCCGCTGCTTAAGTTACTTTTCCTTTACGCTTGAATTTCCTTTTCTTGCCGCTTCCTTGGCCTTTTGGTTTTTCCTTCAGCTTTAGCTTCAGCTTCAGCTGAATCTTGTGTCGGTTGCCTTTTGCCGCTTTCTGGTTTTCCCCTTTGCTGTCGCCTGGTTTTTCCTTAGCTCAGCAGCTCATTTTCCGTGGAGCGTGTGTGCGTGATTTTTTGTTTCCTCGCAACGCTTTGTTTCTGTATTTCTGTATTTCCTTCGCATGTTATTTTCATAAATAAATTTGCATGTCAAATGACATTGTTTATGGTATTCCTATATGAAAGACATATATCACTTGGCCAGATGGAATCGTTGTGCCCTCATCAGTCGTCGTCCCTGGCAGTGGGTGTGCGCATCACACGTTGTTGACATCTTTGTTAAAATATGTTTACAAGCTCAAATTAGTAACAGAGAGTTTGCCATCCTCTAGATGTGCGTACATATCTGTTTCTCCGACTTCGTCTGTCTGCCTGTCAAAGTTGACAAGCGAAATGAATTCGTAATTGAGTTTTCCGATATGTTTTCCAAGAGTCGCAAGGCCGACGCAGCCGCTCATATTTGATTTGAATAAGAAATTAGCAACTTCTTTTTCAAAAAGCGGCATTTTTCTCCCTCGTTCGAAAAGTTCATTTCAACTGGAAAAGTCATTTTTTAAGTTCTATTGAAATTCCTACCTAACATACTTTCTTAAGAAAATATTTGGTATTAAATATACTTCATTAAATTATTTGTTCCCTTTAAAATTAAAACCATATAGTTTCTCTGTTTATGGAAGGCGCCTTTCTGGCGGTGGTTTCCCCATCCGGCACCAAGTTTTTGCCTCGGCTATAATTATTTCAACGTTCTTATCGACGCAGCAACAAAACAGCCATAATTATTGAGGATAAGTCAAGCGCAGCACATTTGTTGCCTCTTAGCTGGATCCCCAATAAAAATGCCTTCCTGATTAGCGTGCTCAGCATGTGCCGTGAACTTGTCTTATCTCCCCGACTTGGTTTAGGCCAATCTCCTCCTGGCCTAGGAAAAAGTCTAGAAGAATTTATAATATATCGCCAAGCTAACAAAGGGGATTGCTCATAAGCCAAATAAAGAGTGGGATGTGAGGCAAGAGAAATTATGTCACAGCTTACTGAGATTTAACTCAATACTTCAAGAGCAAAAAGGAAGAGGATGACGAAAAGATAAAAACAGGACAAGAAGCTAAGGAACAATTGGATTTACATCACATCAAAGCAATTCAATTTGTTAGATTTCATATTTACGAATAAAACATAAATTTTATTTAACACTTGTAATTGGTTGATTGTTTTACACATTATTGGTTAAATAGAATCTAATAAAGTCGATGAGGTGCACCCAAGGATGATTTGATATGAAGTGAGCGCACATTCTGCCAGTTTCCCTTCAGCAGCGAAACAAGAAAATTAATCGAAATGCTTATGTTTCGAGCCAGTTCCTCCGCATGCAGGCCAACATGGCCGACATTAACTGATAGACAGGCCATCTTCCTCATCAGCAGCTTTTTGGTGGAGAGTATCTGGATTTTGGAGCGCATAGACTCCTTGTGAGTCAGTGGAGTGAGAAACTTGCCCGCGTTGGTAAGACCGGGACCCAGAAGCTTGGGGATCTGCTTGATTATCGACTCGGAGGCCAAGAAGGCATCGTAGGACTTGGCCAACTTCCTTATCAACTTTTGATCCTTGTTAAGCCTCTTGAGGGCTTCCACATCCAAGCAATCGACTCCATTGGCCTTTGCCTCATAACAATGCTCTTGATCTCCAATCACGCACACCTTCAATTGGGGAACTGCCAGGTGACGTAAGAGAACACTTCCATAAAAACGTCTGCACTTCTCAGGATCATAGTCCCTGAGTCCAATCTGCAGCTCCACTTTTTCAAGGCAGTCGCGTCCCTTGGCCTGCGATTCCTGTAGGATATTTTGGACTGCCACATAGAGCGTGTCGCGAGATACTTTCGATGCCATAATTTATAACTAATTGTATCTGACGTATGTATTTAAAAATTTTAAGGCACTTTTCCCGAACGTGTTGCTAGCACAAAATTTAAAAAGAATTGTGATACCTAGAGCATAAAATGCAAATAAGCAACTAGACAGTTAAAGAATGGGTATGCTGAAAAAATTATTATATTGGTATAACATTATTTATCGAATTATTGAAAATTCCCAACTTGCAAAGTTAATTAAAGGCGAATTGAATATTTTGAGCTTGCTTAGAATCACCATTAACTCAATTCATTAATACTCATAAATCGCCGGGCGGAATTCTCTCCATGAGTGCACTTCCTTGTGTCATTTTGGTCCCAGGCTGTGCATAATTGATTGGCCAAACTGCAATCGATTTCCCTGATTCGGACCTGAGGCTCCAGAGCATTTCGCCAGTGGCCAAATTGGAATTTCCAAATGCCACACGCCAGATGCCAGATACCAGATGCCACTTTCCTCTCGAAATTCAGCAGCTCAGCTGGTTAAGTTCAGCAGTTCAGGTCAGTTCTCATCAGGTTGGGTTGATGGGTTGATGGGTTCGGGTTCGGGCTCCTTCGGTTCGGTTCCCATCCGCCGAGTTTTGCGCTAATTAGGGGAGTGTTGCCGCCAGGTTTTGGCGACGGCACTTTTGCAGCGTTGACAACATTTGTCCTGCCTGGGGTCAAAATGCAGCTGCAAATGCGGACTGGGCTTTCTGGCTTGTGTGTAATTATAAACGAAATTATAAGCTGCGGCCGAGTGCCGTGTGCAGCGGAGATTAAAGTGGAAATTGCAATTCTGGCTGCTGTCTGCGGTGATCAAGATCCCTGTAACGAGAGGATGTGCACGGACATCACGGCGGCGATGAGGATTTGTTGCCTGCCACTGCTAATTTACACATTTTGATTGCTCCCAACTGCGCTGGGGGTGGTGGGTGGCAGGAGTCACCTTTTCGCACAATCCCCACTCAGCCGCGTTGTCGCCTTCGCTGATAACATTATGCGGCGTTTTTCTACAGCTTAATGCATAATTTGCGTCCTGGGAATAACGACAGCCAGCCGTAGTAAAACACCGGAAAATATTTTTATAAAAACTACATTTTTTTAAAAAATAGTATTTATATTTGACCACTTTTTTTAAATTTTTTATAAGAATGATAGTTTATGTAAGTTCCGGTAATTATTTCTTATAGATATATTAAATAAAATTATTTTCGGTTCACACTAAGTTTTTTTTTTGTGTAGCAGTTTCTTAAGCGTAGCAAACAATTTTCCGGTGGCGATGGGTGAGTTCTTTGGAAGTACTTACTGCCCCAAGATTATTTCACGTTGAGCTGCTTATTGGGCGGCATTTTCGGGATTTGGCTCTGGCTCTGGCAAGTACTTCTTCGACTCTGGCTTTTCCTTCGGTCGGTATTTATCAAGATGTTGCTACTATTTTCCAAATGCCAATTGAATTGTCACCGAGCGGCTCACGGTGAGTATAGATTTTGCAGGCACAAATTTAAATTCATTTAAGGAAAAATATATATTTTTGTATGTATTATGTAAACCAAAATACTTTAAGGATCATTATACAATTTTCTGGATTAACGATCAAGCTAAATGGATTTTGAGCTTACAGCAATTTCGAAACATATTTAATTGGTAAGTACAAAAGTCACAGTTGCTAATTTTATGAAGTGGCCAACTTTAAGGTAGGTCTCACTCCAATCGGCAAAGAAATGTCCATTTTTGTCATTCAACTGCCATTTGCCAAAAGCTGTGAGTGAGTGACCCTCCCACAAGCCATCGCACAACTCACAAATGTGAAATGTGCTCGATGTACTGGTAGTCAATCCGTAAATGCCGAAACGTTCAATGGCTTGCCTAGACCATATCATATCGAATATATGTGATATCCCCCTGGCCGAAGACATTGCCGGAGTTTTTCGCATTTTTGCACTTTCAGGCCAAACCTTTTTCTAATAGCAAATGTCAATTTATTTGGGGCAGAGGAGAAAAAACTAATAAGCAAATACTTGGCATAATTTGGTCCGAGGCTTCAGGACTTCAACACGCCAGGGGACTCGGACTTTTGGGCTCGGACCACTGACGTAATCAAATCGGCAATCAGTAAGAGATATGTATGCGCATCAATGTGCCCGAAGGGTTGGGTTCTTCGCCCCAAATCCTTCCTACATCATTCTGCACATCCTCCTTTTTTTTTTGTCTCCCCGTATATCCTTTGGTATATATGTAGGAACATATACATCCGATGGCCATGGCAAACATTCCGGCCGAGAAAGGGACACGCTGGGTGCCTCGCCTGCAACCGAATCTTTTTTTGAACTGTCCCTAACAGTGCGTAAATTGCTATTTTCAAATACATTTCAATCCGCACATACATATCGGAATGTATATTCAGAGACTTTTCCAGGGGACAACAAAAGTTTAAATACTCTTGCGGGGCGATTCCAAACTGGCCAAATGGTCGCTGAATGTTTTGCATTGCAAATCGATAAAGGGAATTAGTTTTGCGGCAGTTAAACTCGTGGATTGTAAATAAAGATGATGCTGAGGTTTTCAGTTTGTGGGCATAGAGGGAATATACAGCAAAGTTTTTCAGACTGGCCAACGATCGATTGTTGGATTATCGAATTACTATAATCGTTACTTATACTTTTCCAATTAAAATTCCAATTGAGCAAGGCTTTGAACATTATTTCTAAGGCACTTTAATTTTGAATTTCTGATATATTTCTTTGTTTCTAGAAAATTACATATTTATAGCTTACATTTAGTCAGCGCATTGCAAGGTCGTTAAAGATTTATGAAAAATCCCGATGATAATGCCTAGAGTCTTACGTTATGGATGCTGCCGCTGTTGTTCTTGGGATGAATGCGAATTTTATTGCTCCTACTGCCTGACCTCTCCCCTGTCAATCAGCTTCGAATGGCGACTGCCGGCGGGTCTCGCATTGCGCATACGCCCCGACAGCCCGCTGTTGTAATGCGAGTGCCAAACAAAAACTTCAATTGTCAACTGCTGACGCCCGATTCACGCTTTTGTTTGCAGCTGTCCTGTTATTGCTCTGTCATTTTATCGTCAGCGGAGACTGTCTTTGATCTCGGCACGCGCCCCGAACTATGCAAAGCATTTGTCACCACCCCTGACCCATCGAACTTTTCGCACGCGCGTGCCTGAAATGTCAGCGTCGCTTTTCACATCCACACATGGTCACAAAATGCAGCAGGTTCTCGGACCGTCAAATACCAGAATTTCTAGAGGAAGGTCCGGAAATAATAATGAAATTCTGTCGAAATTTTATAGGTTTTGCATACTTTTTCCCAGGAACAGATTAATTCCAGGCTGGCCATTCTGCATACCTACATTAACAGGAATGTGAGAGGTGTGTTTTGGGGCTACCTCTTCATTGGATAAGAAATTTTAAAGATTATCTAAATGAACTATATATTTTACACTTTTTTTGCGATGGCTTATCCCTGTGTATTAGCGAATTTTACGATCTTCTCATCACTGCGATAGGTAGCATCATCCCCCAAGCTGAATAAAAACTCTACATCAAACACAGGTAGGAGGGTTGGATAGTAGCTGCTCCACCATTAGGTTTTATAATCATTTTACAACCGGTGTGATATTTAGAATATGACCGAAAGTTGCTTCATCGTTTCGGTTTTTAGGGAAAGTTTTGCCATGGCCACAGCATATCTCAGCTGCAGCCCCTCGCCCCTATCCCCTCATCCCTCGTCCATCGAGTGTTGTTTTTAGTTGCGGGCGTGGGCGGTTGGGTGGCAAAGTTGGTAGCAGCGCCACATGGCAGATGTGTTTGGTTGCCGTGGCTGCTGTTGTTTTTATTTTTTTTTATAGTGCTTGCCATAAAGTACTTAAAAGTTTCATTTTACGCCTATTTTGCTGGACGAGAGCCCCATTATCAGAGAGCCAGAGCCAGAGCCACCAAGTGACCAACTGACCTGGCCAGAATTCAGCAGATTTCCCTGCCCGCCGCTGGCTGGCAAAAATCCAATTTGCCAACATTTTAACAATCATTGCCGTCGGGCACTTCAGCAACTCATATTGTGGCCATCCACTTTTAATTGCTTGCCTAAACAAATAATATTTGAGTAGCATATTTCCGGAGGTTTGGATGTTGAGTGTTGGTACACGGAGGGAAAAACTTATAACTTATAAATCTTTTTAATCATGTTAGGTTTCTTTAATTACTTAAAGACTTCTAATGGAATTTATAAGTTTTTATTTATATTATTTAGAATTTATCTATATTTTTTTTAAGTGCACCAATTAATAGCTGGCAAAAAGCGTAAAGTGGATTTAAGTCGAACGAAAAAGGTCAAGGGAAAGGGCCAAGACGCTGGGCGATTGGGCGGTAATTGCTCGTCAGCTCGTCGAGATATCCAAACTGGAACTCATCCTTTCACACAGAAAGTTGTGCCTATCAATATGCCGGCCAGATGAATGCCATCATCATCATCATCATCTTGGGCTCCGCCATTCGTCGCAGTAAAAATTTTAATAACTGTATTCTGCAGAGGACATTCAATGTCCGGAACCAGCTTGTTTATATTTCCTTTCGCGGCCTCTCTGCACCAAAGTTTTTTTTACCAATTTATTTTTATTTTAGATACATTTTTTCTGCAGCTCCGTCGGTTTTTGCCTTTTGCCGTTTGCTCCACTTAAATACAAAACGTCCGCCCGCCTGCTAATGGCTTTTCTGCCCGGGAAAAGTGGGCGTGGAAAAGTGGGCAGAATCTGGTTCGGTTTGGCGGTTCTCGTAAACTATGAGTGCCTTTGGCCTTAGTGGGCAGAATGGAAAACGGAAAACTGATAGCTGGAAACTGAAATTTCTTGGGCTCTGCTGATCAATGCAACACCGCCCTTAACTTGGCCACTTAAAAATTGTAAGGCAAATTTATCATGATTACGGAGAGTCTACGGAAAAGTTAGGAGAGCACGGAGATGGTCAAAGAAAGCTTATAAACTTAATTGGTCATCGTGGAAACAGTAGGATTATAACTGGTGGCCTTTGAGGGGAATTTTACAGTAGA